AAATATGTAAGGCAAATCAAGTCCTGATGACTTCATCTTCAACCTCCAGCCGGTGTACCTGTAACTTCTTCATTTCTCAACAAAAATGGAAGATGACAAAATGAAAGTTGTTGCATTCTTCTTCACGAATCTAACCATGTAAATAACTAAAGCTAAAAGTCAAAGATAAATGAGAATTTCTCTGACCCTAATTTGAACCCTAAAAATTTCAGAAACTTCAACTCTAAAATTCTCTAAGCTCAGGCCATGTAAATGCAAACTATGGATATGTACAACTTCGTGGCAATGAGGTCTACATTTTATCTTCACAAATGCAAGCCTAACAATACCTAAGTAATGAGATATAAGTTCAATAAAAATACCTCAAAACTGGAAATCGTGAAATGCAAATGAGTTTGATTGAAAGTGCTGCAAGGATCAGGTTAGGTTCCTTGAGGTCCCAGGAAGCTAATGCAATGATTAACTTGAGCTGAAAGTGACTGAGGAGCTCTGGAGAAGTCAAGTTGCAGACCCCTGTTTTTGAAAATGGAACTTGATGATGGAGGTGTTACAGTTGAGCAAATGGACTTTGGATGATTTGTATTTGATGTTTAGAAGCTTTTGGAAGTAAAAGGCCAAAGAACGCACGAGGGGATTTGGAGTTTGGTATGTAAAGTCAGAACTTGCACAACAATGGTGTTTTGAGACAATTTCTAGCTAGAGGGAATTTGAGTGAGTTTTAGGGTCTTCAAGCTCGTGTCCTAGCTCACAAATAGTGCTTCTATTTATAAGCAACAAGTTTGGAGACTTGTTGTTAATCAGAATTTGAAATTACATGTTTATGCATAACATATGATTTTTGAGAAAACAAGTTTCAATGCCTTGTGTACTTGCTAAGATAGAGTGGTTATGATTTAAACACAATTGCTTTTGACTTTGTAGATGAAGTTTGATCATAGGGAACAAGTTAGAGGCTCAAGAGTGGACTTTATGCATAAAGCTTGCTTTTCAAGAATGGTATTGTTAACTTTCTTCCCAAAATGGCAATGTGAATTGGATAAATCTTAAATCACTTTAATTATAGATCAAAAGTTTGTGTAATACATTAATTATGGAGTGACAAACAAGTTTGAGGCCTGAAAAGAAAAGATTATGCAGCCTAACATTGATTTGCATTTATGTTCATCATGAAAATGACCTATAATTCAAGTGACAAAACACCAACTTCATCTCTTCGATTCTCCCTACTCATGAATGATCTCAAGGAGTTCTTGGACATTTTTGAAAGCTTGCAATGTGTTCTTCAACTTATATTTGAATTGCTTTTGAATATTCAATTTGGAACTATGTGAAAAATAGCCATGAAGTTAGGTCAAAAATCTTCCTAACTAGGGCAAAATTTCACTAAGTCTTTTTTTAGTTCATGAGCATGTATTCATAAAATCATAACTTGAGATCAAGCACTTTTAGGAGAAGTTGTGTGAATAAAGGTTGTATATTTCATGGAGGTCTACAACTTTCATGTTGGAAGTTTCCTTTGAATCATATTGCATCATAATGAAAAAATTGCTCAAAGTTATGAAAAAATAAGAAATTTTTGACACTTAGAAAAATTTCTAAGTTTAGAAATTTTGACTTTTCAAAATGAAATCTTTATTTCTTGATTTCTTGATGAATACATTTCCTATTTTTACATGTTTTTATGAATTGTCATCTTTGATACTTGATTTTGACCAAAAAGTCAATGTTTGACTTTGCAGTGTACAATTGACTTTTGATCAATTGATTGCAAAATTCATCTGTCAATCCAATGGATTTGTAATGTTTTGAATCATGTAATTAGGTAAAAATGATTCAATTGTACTCTTGAGATCATGCCTTAAACCAATTGACCATTTTCTAGGTCAATAATCGGAAATTACCATTTCCTAGTCAAAACCCTAATTTTAACCATTTTGCCCTTTTGGAGATTTGATCAAATTTCTTGAGGAATTATGGTCCAAACTTTATAAAATGATACATATGAGTTTAAAATGTTGATGTGGATAAAAAATTATGAAGTTTGACTGTAAATTGGCCATAGTTGACTTTTTCCCCAATACAACTGGTTTTTAGGTCAACTGCTCAATTGACTGATCAAAAGTGTGATCCAAGACATGAAACTTGACATGAGTAATCTCGGGGTTCCATAATGGTACATGAAAGTCATATGAAGCATTTATAGTTCAAAAATCCTTGTGCAAACCCAAACCCTAATTTTTGTCATCAGTGCCGAAGGAGGTGTCTTGAGCTGATCAAACCCTAGTGCAGTCTTGAGCCCAAGGAGATCTTGTGATCAAATTCTTGATAAGTGAGAGGGAAAATTTTTGGGTAAACCAATAAAGAACCTGTAAATGGGAGAAATAGAGAACTTGAAATAAAATTGAAATTAATCTTCAATAATCCAGCAAGCTTATTGTAATACCCTAAATTTGTCCTACCCTTTTACTTTTATCTGGCTTATGCATCTCACGATTTTCTCATGTATATAATTTCCATTAGGTCATCTAAAACATCATGCATCATTAATCAATAAACTTGGTATGGGAACAAGGATCTTGAAGTTAGGGTTTTCTATATGGCTTTGATGGTTCTCATCTTCACTCAGGCTTGAATCAATTGGGTTCCCAATAACAGTGGTTTGTGGAGCTAGGGTTTTTCTGTTCATATTCATTGATGACTTCTTCTTTCATAAAAATTCTTCATCAAGATGCCTCAAAAGCAAGTGGATTAGGTTTATGATAATGATGTGGTTTCTTATAATACTTCAAAAGAGGATATGGTGATATAGGGTTCTGCTTCAACAGTACTCTCATTAATCAGGGATAGAGGTTCACTTCTTTATGTTAATTGGTTATCATAAGGATCTTAAGGGTTTGGTTTCATGGCTTTCATGCAACACATTTATCATATCTATGGTTCCTTTAGTTTATCGTCATCGAAAGTTTGGTTCACTTGGTTAATTGCATTGCAAGACAATATTGTGGATCTGATGCAAGGATTGAAATTCATTTGTTGTCGTATGAATTATTTCAGGTTTGATGGCATTGGATAATTTCAAAGTCCATTTTTAACTCTTAGGTTTTTCATATGTGATTTGTTCCAAAGGTGCAAGAATGAATATGTCCTCATTTAGTTAGAAAGTTAACTCTTGAAGGATGAATTTTATAAGCCAAGTCATATGGATTTTTGTACGAGTACTTTGCCATTACCGCAATTTCGGGCATTCATTCAAATTTATATTTCGCATTTGGAAGTATTTAAGTATGAAGAACCTTAAAGTGCAAAAGGAAGGAAAAAGACTTTCAAATTTCCTTTGAAGGAAAAATGGCGTTACTATGTACATTTCATGATCAATGCCATTACACATTTCCATATCCTTTACACAAGTTGCATAGAAACTACCAAAAGTTACAAATCATACATCAAAACTACCCATAAATACCATCCTAAGCCTATGACTGTTCATCTTCAATCTTCATGCTGTTTTATCTTCAACCCTTGCTCACTTCTCAAGCTTCTAGCATGCACATGCCTTGGACGTCCTATTCTTTATCCCTTTGCTAATACCACAAAATCTGACCCGATTTTCATTAAAATGAATGGACAACCCTGCATTTTGTTCAAGAAACCAGTTCACCAAACCAGTTCACCAAATCAGTTCATAGAAACTTGTTACAATTTTTTTGCATATAATCATTCATCCAAAGAAAAAGAGAAACCATGACCCTGAATTGTTAAAAAACAGATCCAAATTAAATTCCAACTTCCAAAATAGAAAATACTAACCATAACAGAAATCCAGAACTTCATAACAGTTAACCAAACTCCACTTTCTAACAGAAAAATAATAGATGTTGGTGTTTAACCATATCCTAACCGCTTTAGCCTCTAACCAATTACGTAGTTAACAACGGCATAACAGAAAACAGAAACAAAATTCTAACTGAATTCTAGCTTCCTCCAACTAACTGTCAAACTCTAGCTAATATCCTAATTCTTCCATCCCTAACTGTCCTGTAACAGTTTCATAGCGATCTCTAAATAGAAACTAATAGCCCTGTGCATGACCCCTCTAACTGAATAAGATATTCATAAATAACTCAAATAATAGAATTTATACACAACGAGCCCAACCATCCTAACAAATACCGTAACTAACTTCTCTAACAGAATAACCTCCTAACTGCAACCAAGCCTAACAGCAAAAAAAAAGACAGTTAACAGAAACTTCATAACAAACTTACCAGCTCATATCCTAACCCTCTAACCAACTTCCAACAAGCTCCTAACAAACTTCCGACAAGATCCTAACAAAATTCCAACAAGCTCCTAACAAAAAGAGGGAAGGAGTTCATGATATAAGAGAAAAAAGTAATTCACGAGTCATTTTTTCTACGACATACAGGAAACTCACCAGAAAAAAATTCTCGAAGCTTTCTCTTCTCTCTCGACTTCATCTTCATCTTTCTACAAAACTTCAATAATGATCACGCTCCAACAATAAACCTCATCTTGCTGCAAGGAGTTTCAACCTTCAACAAGAACTTAACTTCATCGGGATTTTCTCATAAATCCTCAAGGAGGTAGCATCATATTCCTTAACTCTGCAAATCTCGCACGCACATAACCGTAACATCAACAACAGAAGGTGCATAAACAAGAGAGATACATAAATAGCAGAAATGCAAACAAAAGACGCTGTAGAAGAAGTAGAAGATAGGGTCAACGGAAGAATCAGTAGTAAAAAATGCATACCTGATTTAGTAGAGCTTTCATCGATTTCTCGATATTCTCATCACGTTTGAAAGGCCGCCGGAGCGACTCCGATAGGTAAGACTCGAATTCATCTTCACTTTAATTTTCTCTGCATCTTTTAGATATTGAGGATGATCTGCTATGTTGAACACATATCCAATCGTTCGAGTTTAAGCAATGTGGCTCTTTACTAGAGGATTTATATACGAAGTTGAAGTTGTCAAATGAAGGATGAAAGAGTGAGTCAAATATGGTGGGACGCCTGTTCGCAGCGGTGGGACGAGGCGATTGAAGGAGAAAGACGCAGATCGAACAAGAAGCGTGGAGATCAGAAGATGATGAGACAAAGAGATGCTAAGGAGGTTATGATGGCATTATGTTGGGATGGTGGCACCGCGGTGAGAGACGGAGCAAGACAGAGAAGGTTATGATTGCGCCACGAGTTGAGATTGAAGGAGAAAGAGAATTTGGTTTGAATGAAGGTGGAAAGTCACAAAAGAAAAACCCTAGCTCACACTAACGACACTGTTTCATTCACCATAATCTTTGTTTTAATTTTTTTCTTAATAGATTTAAATAAACTAAATCTAAAAATGAAAAGGCTGAATTGAAGAAGAGCTGGACCGAAAACTCTCTTGGATGTATTGTTCGGGCCGATCCACTCTTTCCCTTGAGCCCAATGTGCATTTTATTTGAAGTATAAATAAACAAAAAAACATCATTGGGCTTCATTCTGACCAGGCCAGCGCCTGAACTTGTTGGACCATACTCCCTAGACTCAAATTAGGACCCTCCTGAATTCACTAATTCTTTGTTAGATTTAGGGATTTTTTTGTTAATTTTTGTCAATGTAATACATGATAAAAATATAATAAAAGCAATATAAAATAGTAGATTTTAATAAACATTTTAGGAATTAATTTTAGTTTTTTTCGATAAAATTTTCTTTACATAAAAAACTAATAATAGAAAATACTTTTTCTTTCTTGTTTTCATCCGTATTTTCATGCCGCTTTGCCATGTTATTTTTGATGCGTTTGTTCATTGTGCAAGACACATTTTTATGCTTTCTATCATGTGACATAACAAGTTGTCATGTGATCGAGGCATATGGCTTATGCTCACCTCTGATGCGACGTGCCTTATTTCTAATTGCCCTGAGAAATTCATATGATATTATATGTTGTCCTGATGGATGTGATATTATATGACGCTTTATGCAGGAACTTCTAATTACGTGTTGCATTCACAACACGCGTTTGCTTTTATCTTAGTTGGATATTGTTTCTGACTTTGTTTATTTCTTGGTGAAGCTTTCTCGATGCACACTCCCTGCTTCTCTATTGCTTTCTTTCTCTCTTCACGATTTTCTCACTTTTGGTAGTCGTCGCTACTACCTTTGTACTTCTCCGCACTTTATCGCATTTCTTTACCACTTTTCTAGATATCATGAGAAGTAGGGTTTTACTGCTTTCTGATTCCCTGAGAAGTAGGGTAGAGATGTATGACGGGGGTCTCCGTTGATGATCATGTCAGGAACCCCTCTAGTTTATTTAAAGATCCGTTTAGGGAAATTTCGCATTGTGTGCATTCTTTTTTCTACTTGTGTGTGGTTTGTTTAAAACCCTACCTTTGTGTAGGTATTATGCATGTGTGTTTATATTTATGCCCGCTTTATTCCCCCATCCCTTATTGATAAGTCCTCAAAAGGAGGCGAGCGGGGAAGGGTTCAGAGTGGTGCCTGCTCTTGTTATCGAGTCGTCAAGTGGGGAAGGGTTCTGCAATTGAACCCTCACGCTTTGTCAAGAGTTCACGTTGGCCGATGCTAATACTTTGTGTTTGTTCATATCTTCTTATGTCGCCTACCTCGATCTCCTATATCTTGGTTAGGTGTTCAGTCACTTTGGACATCACATTTTTGTTTTTTCATCTCTTTTCCGCTTGTTTGTATCAGGTGATACGCTCCCCTTGGCTAAAGCATTTCACTTCTTTTCCTTACTATTTTATGTGTGTGCTCTTTCGGGCTTGATTGCTTTATCCTTGTACATACCATGTTCCCTTAGGACGTGCTTGTGCCCTTCGGATGCAAGTTAGACCTTAGGTTGCAAACTATACATTCTAACATTAGGTAGACATTTCCCTTTCATCCTTGACGTAGGACTACCATTGTATGATAACATTAGGTTAGAAATAGGCTAGTCTCCCTTAGACTCTTTTCTTCCCCTTTTTGAATCCTTGCATTTAAAACTAAAACCTTTTTCTTTAGCAAATCACAAAACATGCTAATCACACTTAAATCCTTTTTCAAGGTAACAAAAACACAAACCAATTCAAACCTTTTTGTGCGTCCAAGCACCTTTTCTCTAAAAACCCTTTTCAAGAAAGGACGTGATTAATTTACTTCTGGGCCAACACATAAGTCTCCAAAGGTCGAGCTGAGGTAGAAGGCGGAATTAACATCATCCATAAAAATCACAAAACAAACAAAACATGTGAGCCAAACTACGGTAGCTTTGATTCCTCAAAAAGGATATGTAGGCATTGGGGTAGGGCCCAAGCGAGTATAACTTTATTTTCCCTACATTCTTTTCTCCTTTATTTTGCATGCATTCTTACTCAGTAATAAATAATAAGCATAGATTAAATACACCCATAAGATAGACAACAAGAGTGGATACCATAGAGTACTACGGGAGTGTGGGGTGCTAATACCTTCCCCTCGTGTAACAGACTCCCTTACCCGATCTCTCGGTCGCAAGACCGTGACTTATCCCTTATCAGGTTTTCTCGATGTTTACCTTTCCCTTCATGTGGGATAAAAGACGTTCGATGGTAACTTCATTGTTTGATGATTCTCATCCGGTTGTTTCACTTATGATCCAAACGTACAAATGAAAGGTCCTAAAACTAATGGTGTGGTAGTTCCTCGATGTGAGAAACTACCACTTTTACATACTGAGTTTTCTGCCTAGAAATCTAACAATAATACTTTGTTCACAAAACTTGGATGCCTAAAAAATGAATGCTCGACCCTTTTTATAGTCAGAACTCGTGGAAGTTACTTTGTGATTCATGTGGCGAGTAGTGGAGATCATGGTCGGAGAAGTTGAGAAAATCATGGGGTGAGTGGGTGAAGTGGAGAAAATGGAGCTTCGTTGCAGACGTGGAGAGAACATTGAGATCATATGGCAGGCATTGTGTGTTATTGGGAACACATATTTTAACATGTGTGGACCGTAACATTATGTGTACCAAGGGGCACACATATTTTAACATGTGTCGACCGTAACATCACGTGTGCCAAGGGAAACACATATTTTCAAGGCTTGGCGACCGGCATGAAGGCTGTGACGACCGTCACAGTCTTCTGTCATGCATTTTCCTGCTGCTTTTCTGCTACAATATGATTTTCAACTCATTTCTTTGCCATTTCTTCCTCTTTTTCATGCAAGCCTCGTGGAATATAAATACCTGAAATAAAATAGAAATACGGGTATAACAAGATAAAATTAATGAAAAACAATATAAAAGTGCATGTGAATCAAGTCAAATATACGATATAATTTCACGTTATCAAATTCCCCCAGACTTAAACCATTGCTTGTCCTCAAGAAATCGACCAACACAATAAAAGAAATGATTAAGTGCGGTTTGAAACAAGGGCACGACACGACTCCTAATCATACGTGGCTTCTAGGCTAATGTTTGATCGATAGGTACTAATTGTTTAATACCAAGGATATCGTAATGATGCAATGTTCAAAGACTCCTTATTTATGCAAACCATTTCGAATCATGGCATTATAACTCAAGTTATATCTCTCGTTTTTATTTCACTCCATTCATTCAAGTGCAATCATATTAAGCCCGTTATCCGTACACGTACATAGTAAGGAAATCGATTAGCAACTATGATCCTTTGTCTCGAGGTTATGGTACATAAGTTTGGTAACCCATTTTATTTAACTGATCATAGTTGCAGAGGATCAGACTGTAGTCTTCCCTACTAAGTTTAGCATCAGACACCTCTGAACCAACTGACGACAGGTTATTTTGTTATATTTTTGTAGGTTCCACAACAGTTGTATTAAGTGCCTGGGTGAGGGTCACCTAACTAAATAGGTGTGTTCCCTATTTTAAATTTATTATGGCAACTAATTTTTTTATAATTTTTAGGATCATTCACTTATATTCATCGACTCCCTACGTAGTTTATGCTTAAGATGGTGCTAACTGCTAATATAAACTACTTAAGAGCTACTTTGAAAACTTGAGCCTAAAGTCTCAGTATAATGGGTACCCAAACTGATATCACATAATGAGGGGGTTTAGGGTGTCATAACGGTATCGATTTTATCGAAACTTTCCTAAGTCTCTCTAACACAACCTAAAGTGTGACAACCTATATACTTTCAGAGTGTGTGTGCCATCATCAACAAGAAAATTGTTGTTGGAGGTCAAAATTTTAAAAATTCGGGGAAATTCAATAACAATTAAAAAATATGCATACCGGCTTGACATCACAAGCAATGACTCGACCAAATATTGGAAATAGATAAAATATTAAAAACATGAAATAAACTAGAATACAATAAATCAAAATAAGAAGCGATAAATGGAAAGCGGTAAAGTTCGTCCCCATACTTAAACCAAACATTGTCCTTAATGTTTCAGTAAAAAGTGGGAAAAGGAATAAGAACCTGATCAATGATCGCCTCGATAGTTGCCTACATGCAACTGATAGGTTCCAAGCGATCGATATCTTTATTTTATGCAAACTCAAACAAAAGCAAAAACATTAAATTGAAACTCGTGGGTTGCCTCCGACGCAGCGCTTCTTTTAACGTCGGTAGCTCGACGATTCAAGAGTGTCAGCACTCATGGTGATTTTTTCGAGAACGACTCCTCGATCGAATTTTTAATTGTATTTGGTTTCCATGGCCACTTATCAAGCCATCTCACATATCCCTCACCTTTTCTTTTCTTTCTTCTGTGGGATGGTTCATTATTTTGAACTTGTGGTGGTGGTTCTGGATCAATCTTGAGTATCAAGTTTTAATGTTTGGGCTTAGTTATTTCATCCACCATCTCGAATATTAACATTCCCTTCTTAATACTAATGATTTCCATGGTTTCATGGTCCTCGGATTTTCTCTTTTTATGCAAGACCTCAAATAAAGGTGAATTGGTGTGGATATTGTCCATATACCTTTTAGATTGGGCATCTATATTAGCTTCCACAAATATTTGCAGAAAAGAAATAGGTGGGTTATAGGGAGGAGGAATAACAATAGATGTTTCCTTCTCTACCTCTTCAAAAACCTCCCTATCAGATATGGTCGGTGTATTTTTCTCAATCTTTACTCTTTTCTCATCAGAACTCTTCTCAACCTCATTATTACTATCTTCAACCTCATTATCACTCTCCTTA